TTCAAAGCTTATTTGCAAGCTGCCGCGATCTATTAAAACTTTCGTAAACACTTAAAGTATCGATAAGTCTCTCCCAGTAGGATTTTTCATTAATTCCGACAATCATCAAATTCGCGTATCGAGATGATTTGCAAATTGAATCTCCGCGCCGCGTAGAAAATAGTGAGAGAGAGGAGGGGGAAGGCAGAGAAATCGCAAACATGTTTGCCACAAGTAACGCAATACTCTTTTATGCAATATTTGCCTTCCATCCCTTTGCGATCCTTTTAATCTGCAAATACGCTGCCGCTTAGATGAAAAGTAGGAAAAGTCGCTGTTCACGTCGTGTTTGCAAAACGACGTTGAAATTTATGATATTCCGTAATACGTAGAGTGAAAGGTATAAATGATGATTAAAAAATTGTGGATAATTCAAAGTTGTACAACGAGATGTAAAAGTTGTTTAGCGAGATTATGTTTAAAAGATCGTATACATTCAAGCTCGTTTTTAATGAACGAAGCTTCCATTTCGCCTCCACGGTCGTGAGTTCGTTTCTTTTCAAAGATGATCTTACATCTTGTAATGAATGAGAAGGTGAGGATACTTTTCTCCTCGAAAATTGCAACAAACTCAGACATTCAGAGAAATTTTTTTTTTTTGTAATTAAATTTAACCTTATTTTGAAAATTAGAGTCCTTGAAACATATTGTACAATATTCTCTCGCCATTTTATTAAAGATCGAATGATTAGGTCTGGGACGACAAAAATTCAAGAAATCCTAACATTTCGTCCAAAGTTTAATAAAATGATTCAAAAGAATATTAAGCGCTCGTTGTGAAGAGAAAATCTCGAAAAACTTTCGAAACCATCGTAGACTCAGTGTCACGAGAAAAACATTTCAATGTTTCTACGCGCGTTTGATAATTTTCGAATTTTGATAATTTTCGAGAGAAAAAAATCCTGACTCACTCGCTCCAAAAAAAAAAAAAAAAAAAAGGAAAAAAGAAAAACTCCATTCAAAGGAGAAGCTTTACTTTGAGACCAAAGGGATATCAGTTCAAATTGTCGGCGATTGTTCATTGTCGTTGGCTCTTCACTGCGGCTGCAATGATTACAAAGGTTAAAATCTTTGGCGATTTAACCTTTTGTGTCAAAAATAAGCAGGGTTTGCGTGTTGTGACACGGTGGTTGATACTTTTTAGCGTCCGTGCACGTATGCACGTATTTCGATTTAAAAAAAAAAAAAAGAAAAAACCGGCAAAATGTTAAACCTCGTAGTAATAACGAGGTCTCTTTCCACCGTCGCTTCCATTGTCCCCTTTGCCGCGAATTTTAATGCCTGCCCGCTCGTTCAGACAGCGTGGACTATTTTACCACGGAGAAGTAATTAAAACCGCGGTGCCGTGATTCTTCGTGGCCTATTGGAGAGAGACAAAAAGAATGAAAGAGAGAGAGAGAAGAAGTTGACGCGGATTACCAGTAGGTAAGGTGACCGCATGATCCGGGCGTTCCATCCTTCTTCACGTGCCGATGAAAAATTAAGTCGCGATACGCGATCTTTTCTGGGGATCGTTATTGAATGTCAAGGTTCGTGTATTAATTTTAGAACGATTCCTGGTTTACTTCGGTGGCTCTCGGACGGACGCTTCGAACGTTTATATCCCTGCCAGACTCGTTTATTTTATTAAACGCTCGGTGTCAATCGAAATCGATACGACGGATCTCGGATTTTCGTTTCCTCGCTATTACTTACTAATTAGATGTTTTCGTCGAGGTTAGTATTAACACGTCGACTGCTGGCCGCCATTTCTCTTCCTACGAATAATTAAAGTTGAGATGAGAGTGCCATTAACAAAGAATAATTTGGATAATCAGACGATATGAAACGAAAGACACGCTTTCGTTGTGCTTTATTGTAATATGGTACAGAAATCAAGTATTTCGTCAATAATATATAACTTTGCTTACAAAAACATAAGTCTATCGTGTTGATACAAATATCTGGGCAAAAGATGGTTTGATGATTATAGAGAAAAAAAATTTGCAGTATTTGACATTCAGGATTTCATACATAAACTGTTACACTTTCAATTTAATTGCAATTAAAATTTTCTTATAGTGTAGATAATATTATCCTACACATACTATCTTATAATATTACTTATATATACTATAATATATATATGTATATGTATACTGCAGTACTATAATACTTATAATATATAGATAATATTATCTTATAATACTGTATATTATATATATAATATTGTATAATAATTGATAGATAATTGTATAGATAATATTATCTTATAATACTGTATACTATATATAATATATATAATATAAATAATATAATATAATATATATATAATATAGATAATATGATATAATATATATATAATATAGATAATATAGATTCTTGTGCTACCTGATTTAGTTACTTAGTATTAATTTAGTATTAATGATTCTATTTAAAAGAAAGTTAAGAAAAGTAGATCGAGATGATTTTGATTTAACACGACAGAATATTATAAATTTATTCATTTTAATTACGAAATATTATTGTTAATTGTATATATATATATATTTACATGTAAAATATTTTAACACGTACACTAAAAGCCGGTTGTTTCACTGTTAACGCAGCTTTCGAAACATTGTCCAAAATGAGGAAAATACAGCTTAGCATTATTTATAATTTTTCTGTTGTGAAATAAGAACTGCACTACTGAACGATTTAGTAATCTACGGTTCCTGACACGATTTTATATATTTGTAATTCATAACGATCATATTTTAAACGTCGGACGTTGAACGTTTCACAGAAACAGAACGAAATCCCTTCGAATGTACGCGAATTATACTCAGTTTTAATGACGATTTATATAAATTTCACGCAACGTGTGATAACAACTTATTGTTTTAATTCATCATTGTTAAAGATCGGGACACGCACAGCCGAGTCCTTGTACTTGTGACTTATCGTATTGCACGGGCTCGTACCGCTTTCTGTGACTTATATGCCCACACATAAGTATTGATCCAGCCACTATATACCGGGTGGTCTGAAAAGTCAGTTTCGCAGAGGAAGGGAAAAAAGAAACAGAAACAATTTTTCAAACAAAAAAAAAAAAAAAAAAAAAAAAAAAAAAAAAAAAAAAAAAAAAAAAAAAAAAAAAAAAAACGAAAACGTACCGCGTACATTCGAATATTTCGCAGCTCGAGAAACGAACGAGATGAGCTGAATAATGAACGATGAAATAGCGTCTAAAAAACAAAATGAAAACATCTGACTTTCTGAAATTTCACAGTACATAATTGTCGACAAGCAATGTGTTCTTATCGTCTTTCCAAATATTTAAATGTTTGTAAAATACACATTGAAAGCTGCAATTACATTGTTGACGTGTGAAACAACACGGGAATGAAAACAGTCGGAATGAAAGTAGCTGCATAGTTTTGCGAAATACGTGCGAAACACCACGATTCAATAGGCCACGTTCACGAAATGCTGAAATAATATTTCATTGCGTGTCACTGAACGTCGGCCTGTGTTATGTTTTCTTTGCTGCCCCGTGCTGAAGACGTATACTGGTATTTCATACACCGGTGTATATACGTACATACCTACATGCATCACGAAAAAATAGTATATAGTGATAAGTTGCATGTATTAACTGCTTGCAACAATTCTCCAACAAACATTAACTTGGAGAATCTACAAAGATCAATTATAGAGAGCTTGACCTACAGAAATAAATTATACTATACTAATTATATTATACTAGAGTATAATAATAGTATACTAGTATAATATACTAGAGTAATAATTATATTATACTAGTGTAATATTATAATTATATAGTATAATATTATAATAATTATATTATACTATACTAATTATATTATACTAGAGTTATACTAATTATATTATACTTACCTACATCAATTATACTATATTAACGTCTGCCCTACCGAACATCTAAAGCCATTAAAAATTCAATACTATGTATTGTATAATTATTATTATGTAATACTTATTATTGTGTGATATATGCCAATATTTGTGTAATTAACTACTAAAGTCAAAGCATAAATGCCGACTCAAAATGGACATTTGTTGTAAATATCTTATCTAGTATATGAATATGTTGTAGTTGAATGTTGAATATGTTATACTTTTATCCATTATAGTCTATCTTTTCTATTAGTAGAGTCTATTATACAAAAATATCGCAAATCGCCTTGTTTGTCTGTCTCATTGAATATTTATAACAATTCTCCAACAAACATTAACTTATAAAACCTACAAAAATCAGTTATAGAGAGCCTAACCTACAGAAATCAATTGTACTATACTAATTATATCATACTAGAGAACCTAACCTACATCAATTATACTATATTGTTTTATTTTATTTTAACGTCTGTCCTATCGAACATCTAAAACCATTAATTCAATTAAAAATTCAATACTACGTATTGTATAATTATTATTATGTAATACTTATTATTGTGTATATGCCAATATTTGTGTAATTAACTACTAAAGTCAAAGCACAAATGCCGACTCAAAATGGACATCTGTATAAATATCTTATCTAGTATATGAATATGTTGTAGTTGAATGTTGAATATGTTATACTTTTATCCATTATAGTCTATCTTTTCTATTAGTACAGTCTACAGAAATATCGAATATTATCGAATATTTATTTAAAATAATTAAAAATCGAATATTAATTATACGCCAATATAAATTTAACTGGCCAAAGCGTAAATGCTGAATCAAAATAAACCTGCGTAAGTATCTCGTCTATTTATTCTACATAGATAATGAAAATGTTATAATTTTGTTCTAAAGCTATCGAATATTTAAAGTAATTAAACATTTGTTTAGCCAGAGATTCAATACTACTTATATCTTACATATGTACGTAGAAACTGAATATATTTACGTACACATAGTTTTACCTAAACAGTGTTATTTTACTATTCCTCGCTCGCTCATAATCGACGATGAGAGTATGCGCGTAATCAATTATTCGCCAGTGGGTCGTGACTCTGGTTTCGGGAAAATTTTCAGCCTGAACTCGGCTGGGAGATCGATCTGGACGACCTGGAATCACAGATCGACGAGTCCACAGCGGCGATCATTATAAACAATCCTTCGAACCCGTGCGGTTCCGTGTTCAGCAGGGATCACACACTTGACATTCTCGACGTGGCCGCTCGTTACTACATACCAATTATTGCCGATGAGATTTACGAACATATGGTACGTGATTAACATATGTATACATTGTTTCATTCCCTAATGGAAATAAAATAGCGCGCGTACACCAGTTCAATTTGTGATCGAGTTTGTGTATGTAATATTTTAATGCACCGTAAACGTAACCACAGTCGATCATTTCTCGCTGGGATAATTAACTTTCTATATGGTACTGTTGCAGTAATTTTTAAATTAGTTGCGCGATAATTTAATTCAAATAATCCGCGCAAGATATTTGCCTTGACCAAAACAAGCGACCGAACCGTAAACGATAATTCGTCGCTTACTTTTTCTTTTGAACTCGTGTCGGTGTGATGTCACTGGACAGAAATTATTGAGAAGTAATAAATTACATGTTTAAAAACTGAGAAAATGTTGCAATTTGGGACAAAAGATTCTCGACGTGCACGTGGCAGAGGTTAACCACTTGCGCTGGCAACTGCGGACCATAACGAGTGACCGAACCGTACGATAATTTGTAGCTATTCTTTTCCTTTTGTACTCATGTCGGTATATCACTGGATAGAAATTATTAAGAAATAATAAACTTATCATTTGTTTTGCCTGGTTTACATTTAAACGTGCTTAAAAACTGAGAAAATGTTGCAATTTGGGACAAAAGATTCTCGACGTGCACGTGGTAGAGGTTAATCACTGATTGCGGACCATAAAGAGTGACCGAACCGTACACAATAATTCGTCGCTTTCTTTCTCTTTTGTACTCATGTCGGTATATCACTGGATAGAAATTATTAAGAAATAATAAACTTATCATTTGTTTTGCCTGGTTTACATTTAAACGTGCTTAAAAACTGAGAAAATGTTGCAATTTGGGACAAAAGATTCTCGACGTGCACGTGGTAGAGGTTAATCACTGATTGCGGACCATAAAGAGTGACCGAACCGTACACAATAATTCGTCACTTTCTTTTTCTTTTGAACTCATGTTTGTACATCACTGGACAGAAATTATTAAGAAATAATAAACTTATCATTTGTTTTGCCTGGTTTACATTTAAACGTGCTTAAAAACTGAGAAAATGTTGCAATTTGGGACAAAAGATTCTCGACGTGCACGTGATAGAGGTTAATCACTGATTGCGGACCATAAAGAGTGACCGTACACAATAATTCGTCACTTTCTTTTTCTTTTGAACTCATGTTTGTACATCACTGGACAGAAATTATTAAGAAATAATAAACTTATCATTTGTTTTGCCTGGGTTACATTTAAATATACTTAAAAACTGAGAAACTGTTGCAATTTAGGACAAAAGATTCTCGACGTGCACGTCGTTCCAGCGCACGAGGTTAATTTGTAACAATCGATGTGTACATATGTTGAAAAAGTATCGATTCAACGAACAAGTCAAGAACCTTCCAACAGTAACTGATAAGAGTAAGACTTCCTTCGTTTGAGTTTTTAACGCGTAGCAGAGAAAGAAAGAGACTCACGCCAGAACTTGGAGCTTTAAGTTCTAATCGATTATCCCGGCTATCGGAGGGCGGATTACAAGTGGTTACTCGAGAAGTAGACGAAGCACGTGATACGAATGAACGTAATAATTGCTCTCCTCCCGACAGAAACGAAAAAGAATCTACGAATTTCCTTGTCCAAGTTTGTAAGTTCATTGGTAAAAAAAAAAAAAAAAAAAGAAAATGTCACCAATGATGATGAGAGCATTCAAAGAAGCCCGCAGTTCCCTTCTGTCGTTTATTTTCTCTGTTCACCAGGTGTTCCCGGGGAGGACTTTTCACTCGTTAGCGTCATTGTCGAGGGACGTCCCTATTTTGTCGTGCAGCGGCCTGACGAAGAGGTATGCAGAAATCGACCTTTGAAATCTTAGCGTCACGGTGATATCCGGTGCGTCGCTCGGATACTTTCAATTCGGTGGAATGCCTGCCTGGAAAAGGAGGCTTTTACACGGTCGGGTCGCTTTACAGCCCCTTTACGGTCGGTTTACGGTCTACATTCCGTAATACATAATTGCACGAGCGTCGCGGAATCAATATTACAGCGAATTCTTGGTGGTCGAGCGGCGGGGAGTTTTGCGGCGGTGAACGTTTGCACGCAACCTGGACACCCGATGCGCGTTGCCTCCTACTTTGACGATAGTTTGAGCAGTGAATAGTTTGGCTCGCCGTGGAAAAGGGGAGAAAAGAAAAAAACGAGAGAGAAATAAAAAGGTGCGAGTGAAGAGAAAAAATGAAATTCCAAACTTGACGAAGATCCTTCCAGAGGAATTTTATTTGTCGACTTGAGGATGTTCAGCGACTCCTGAAATTATTATTAAATACAGAAACTGTTATAATTTTTACATGACACGTGGCAGATAGAGACATTCTTTTTCTTTGAAAATACTACGAATTATCGATATTCACATGTAAGAACGTTGAAAAATTTTGAGAAATTCGTAACTTTGTCCTTGGTGTACGATTTCCTTTCGTCGTTTTACTGAATGTCAAACATTAGGCTTGGTGGACGTAAGGTAAAAATTCAAGGAATCGTTTCTGCCTGATACGCAGATTTTAATAAATTGGCGAAGATATATCGTGCAGAAGGTTCCGAGGGCTCGTTTCAAACTTCAAATCCATTGTAGATTCAGTCACGAGAACAATTGTTCAATGTCTTCACAATTCGTAGCACTGTCGAGAGAAAAGAAAAAAAAAAATATCCTCACTTTGCTGTCTGTTGTGTAAAGATATCAATCTTAGTCAAAGTTTTCCCGTACATCTGATATTTGATCACAGGTGGGTTTAAGGAAAAATTTCTCACTATAAAAATTGTTGCAATGAAATTTAAAATAAATGAAATACAGTTGTACGAGTAGAACAAAATTATTAGATGAAGACAAACGATAACGGATGGACTATAAAAATTGTTGGAACACATAATTTTAATGGACCCAAAAATAGATGAAGTTGCAGTTATACGACTAGAAAAACTTAGATCAACGATGATAGTGGATGAATTGTTCGTCCAATTCTTGCGTTTGGACAAAACGAATCATTTGACAATAACAATTACGTTATTATACAACTACGATAATACGATAACAATGATTTCTTTTCGTTACAATGCTAATTACAACTGTTACAAATTATAACAGCTTCAGTAGTTTCGGGTTTGAAAGTCACCAGTGTCCGATCATTACGTTATTATAACTACGATAATACGATAACAACGATTTCTTTTCGTTACAATGCTAATTACAGCTGTTACAAATTATAACAGCTTCAGTAGTTTCGGGTTTGAAAGTCACCAGTGTCCGATCATTAACGGGATTGTACCACTAACTAAAATTTCCAGCGCTCCATTCGCTCGATTCCGGTACTTCGTTTCGTGTTTTCTGTTCCACCGGAGGAAACAGTAGCTCGTAGAAAACCTTCGTCTAACTGTAAAACTATATTCTCATCATTTTCCATTCCGCTCCGTCGTTCTCCATGCAAGCACGGCCACGACAGCCGACGAGTAATCGAGTAATCGAGTTTTAACAATGGACGCATTACCAGGTAAACGATAATCTTGGCGGATGTTTCAGGTTTTTAGTGCCCGGCTGGCGTATGGGCTGGATAATCATTCACGATCGTCAGAACGTCCTGGAGAAGGAGGTGGGTAATTGCACGATACTACACGCTATATACTCGGGACACAGAGCTCGGAAAATAATTGCTTCCACCCCCTCCTCCCACCGGCGCCAGGTATTGTTTCCGTAACAAGAACGGCCAGATCTGCTTCTCTGCCTCCTCGCCGCGAATTGGATTAAATTTCGTTGATTAAATTTTATCCCGTCGTTAAAGTTCTCCACTTGGCACCGTTCGCCGTGTTCTCAACTTTCGGTTATATCCAAGTCTTCGTTTCCAAACGTTTCCCTGCTGGAAAGAAAGAAACAAGAGAGAGAGAGAGAAAGAGAGAGAGAGACAAAAGAGAGGAAATCGAAGGATGAGACCGTGGCAAGAGCTCCCCGGAGTACGAATTTTTCTTTCCGCCGAAAACTTTGACCGGCCATCCTCTTTCTTACCCGCAATCAGGGAATTTCCAATCGCGCGACTTGTGTTTACTTACGGTGTGTTTTATGAGAACGTGGACTCTGAGAAAGTATATCCTTTTTTTTTTTTTTTTCTGTAAAATATTGTTCACCAGACGTGCCTTTCGTCAAAGCGTAAAATTTCCATCAGAGATGTTAAAGTGAAAGAAATTGTTATTTATAATACAATAGGGTACGCGAGCTCTTACTCATTTAAGTCCCTGAAAATACGCTGTTTTATGTCTGTGAAATATTTAACAAGTATTATCATTTTGATCATATTGTCAATAATTGTGAAGATTGGATACACTATTAATCGAGCGCGTGGTATTATAGTATTTCAGGCGTATTTTCGATCTGTGGAAAATTTCTCGCAAAAAGAATCTTTTTTTTTTTCAATAGAAATGGCGCTTATGGTTTTTATTAAATACATTTTTCATACACGTATATTATTTTATATAATATATTAAATACACGTTTTTCTATCTGTTGTATACGTTACTTATGTTATTCTATTTTTAATTAAAATGTTATTCTATTTATGTTATTCTATTTTTAAATAATATGTTATTTTCGTAGATAAGAAAGGCGCTTCATTGTCTCAGCCAGAGGATTATCGGCAGCAACACGCTGATCCAAGGCGCACTACCTGCCATTCTGAAGAACACGCCGCAAAAATTTTACGACGACGTCATGAAAACGTTACACGTAGGCTTCTGTTTATTTCCAAGTGTTATTTAGACATTTCTGCGAGATTTCGTTGTTATTTAGGAATTTTTCGTGGAACGTTTGAGCCGTTTATCTTGAAAGTGGCCCAAGTCCATTTATCTTTAAACTAAGTTTTGATAAATTTAAAAACATTGGCCATTTATTTTTAAACTAAGTTTTGATAAATTTAAAAACATTGGCATAGTGTACGTAGTATAGTACACGTAACGTAGTATAACGTTTCTGTGTCTCTGAGGATGTATAATTTACCAACCCGTTTGGCACGGTAAACATTGTTTAGAGAATAGCACGTTTTTCATGGCTATGAATAGACTTTCAAAATTAATGAAATAATTTTTAATTTTCAAAAAAAGCACAAGTTCCTTAAAAAAAGAAATGTTACAATTTTGTGTTGCAAAATGAAAATAGCACGTTTTTTATGGCTATGAATAGACTTCCAAATTAATGAAATAATTTTTAATTTTCAAAACAGCACAAGTTCCTTAAAAAAAAAAATGTTACAATTTTGTGTTGCAAAATGAAAATAGCACGTTTTTTATGGCTATGAATAGACTTTAAAAATAGCACGTTTTTTATGGCTATGAATAGACTTTCAAAATTAATGAAATAATTTTTAATTTTCAAAACAGCACAAGTTCCTTAAAAAAAAAAAAAATGTTACAATTTTGTGTTGCAAAGTGGAAAAAATTTCGAATTGATTCATCTTCATCAATCATTTTAAAGTAAAAACTTCACCGATCAAACAATATAATCCCCTCTGAAACGGACGATTTTTACTTTCGATTTTCAGGACAATTCGCGAGCGGCGTACAACTGCGTGACGAAGATCCCAGGGTTGAAGCCGATCGTGCCCGACGGCGCGATGTACATGATGGTGAGAACAATCAATTCGAATAAATCGAAAAAAATTTCACAAATCGAAACGTAACAAGTCCAAAATGACCGATCGCAGTCCAATCTTCCCAGCGAACGTTCATATAAGTTCGAGCGAGATCGATCGGTGCATTAATTACTCCGCGAATTTCCAAACAGCGCAGTCAAGTCGGTAAATACCTTGTTTACCGACGTTAAACCCGATCGGAAGGCGATCCGATCGTGATCTCCGCGTCCGCGTAAATATTTCGCCGTGGATTAGCGGAAAATTCAGACAGCGATAGGTAAACGTTAGAAAAAAAAAAAAAAAAAAACAAAACAAAAAAAAAAAAGAAAAAAAGTAGGAATCGCGAGATCGCAATAAATTATCCTATCGGTTCTCCAGGTTTACATAGATCTGCCTTGTTTCCCGGAATTTAATTCCGACCTCGAATTCGTGCAACGACTGCTAATGGAGGAGTCTGTGTTCTGCCTTCCCGGCCAGGTAATCACAAAATCGAGCACCGAATATCGAGCTCGATCGGTTACCATCGTCGAGTCTGATTTCTCGATTCGTTCTCAATTATCTTTTTGCAGTGCTTCGATTATCCGTCGTACATGAGGCTGGTCATCACCGTGCCGGTGGATATGCTCGAGGAGGCCTGCCAGAGGATCCAGGAATTCTGCGAGAGGCATCACTACAAAACGGCTGAGAACACACAGAGAAACAACCTCGCTACCGTGGACATTCCGTATTAACGAGCGAATATTTTTATATTCTATGCTTTTGTTTCACGCTGTTCGTTGGATGCAACATCGTGTGTCACTCCGAATGTTACTCCGGGTTTGAGTACTTTGCAAGTATTTGCCAAATCAAATTTAGTAACTGCAAACACTTTTTTCTTACTACAAATAAAGTACTCAAGTGTATGAATACAATTGAACGATAATTGTTTTGTATATGTTTAATGCATATACGATTGACAATGTGATTTAATATATTGTAGTTTTAAGCTTGTATACATGCAGAAAATAATTCTACAATCTGTTCTATTGTATATTGTAATATCATGACGATAATATTTTATACTTGTAAAACACGTGTTATAATATTAGTGTTATTATTTTATATACTTTTAATATTAATCGACGTTACAATGTTATATGTATCATGCATTGTGAGATTTTTAACTGTTCTATTATTTATGATGATAACAGCCATTTACCAAATCCTGTGTCAGAATAATTTCTCTATTTTAGACGATAAAATGCACATCTATGACTTGTATACATGCAGAAAATTATAATCTATTCTATTATATATTGTAATATTATACTACATTATATAATATATTATTATCAATATTATAACATCATGAATATTCTGTATTTATAATTATGTACATGTGTCGTAATGCAAAATACGTATTCTAATATTAATATATTAATATATTTAATATATTCTTATATTCTACGTATTTTATACGTATTCTAATATTAATATATTGATATATTTAATATATTCTGATATTCTACGTATTTTATACGTATTCTAATATTAATATTTTTTCTAATTTTAATATATTAATATATTTAATATATTTTAATATTCTACGTATTCTATACGTATTCTAATATTAATACATTAATATATTTAATATATTCTAATATTAATACATTAATATATTTGATATATTCTAATATTAATATATTAATATATTTAGTACATTACATATTGTAAGATTTGTAACTGTTCCATCATTTATTTATTATTTATTATTATATACGTTACTGTTATTTATTTATTTATATGTTAAGCGACGTAACATCATTCAGCAAGTCCTACCCTCTCTATTTTAGACAGACAAAACGCACGTCTGTGTAACGCGACACCATACCACTTACAGTTTACACGATTTTCATCGTGGCAGCTGGTGACTCCTAACCGTGCATCAATATCGCATTACCCCGCTTGTTATAATTACTAATTTCTACACGCGGAACTTCGGGCAACGCTTTGTACAAGCCCGTTTATCTATACAAGCCGATGATCTAATTAATTTCCATTTTCGCGCGCGTGCACACCCGTTAAAGTTCGCCCCGGCTCTGCCCCACGGTGTGTTGCTAAACACGCGCGAATCCCGGTTTAATCCCGGCGACGAAATGTTTCCGCTGTGGAAATTCGATTGCCAAGCCGTGTTAAACAATTACGCCGCCGTTTCCCTTGTCTTACACACGATAATGATCGAACGCGTCGAGCCTGACGCTGCCGAAAATTCCCGTCGAGTCGTCGAATTCAGTCGTCTCTCTCTCTCTCTCTCTCTCTCTCTCTCGAAATTTTCGCCAAATTCGCGACGGTTGATAATTAAAACGAACGACGAAAGGGGCCAAGCCATCGGCCAGACCGATTTCCCACGGGATGGAATTGTTTTTTTTTTTTTTTTTTGTTTTGAAAGAGTTTTTCTTCAATTTTGAACCGAATGTTTATTTGTCGCTGCTGCTCGAATTTTTACTCGTTTCGTCGTCGCTCTTGAATCGTACAACGAGAAAAAAGAGAGAAAGAGAAACGAAGAGGAAAGAACGCATCGTTCAATTGTGAAAATGGCACCAGTTGACTCTTAATTGTTGTTTAGACACTTTCGGCCAAGTGTTGGAATTGTGTTTCGCATTGTGCGCGAGTTCGACGAGAATCACTCGTTTACAGTCTTTTTCCTTCTTTTATATATATATATATATATACATATATATATCGTTTCGATTTATTGTCAATCTGTCCACGTTCGACTCGCAATTTAATGACAAGTTATAATCGAAAATTATGCGTAAAAATTTGTATCGAAATGCAGTCACGATTTGTTTCTTCTATCATTTTAATATTATTTATTTATTATTATTTATTACTTTAATTATTGTTATTTATTTATTATTTTAATTATTATGATTTATTATTATTTATTTATTATTTTATATATTATTATGTATTATTATATTTTATTATATTATTATTATTTATTATTATACCACTTTAATATTAATTGTGAAAGTGGTTATCAGTTGAGTTTTAATCATTATTTAGACATTTTCGGTTAAAATTGCTACTCCTTTCCTCTTTACTATTTTTGCTTTCCATTTCACTCGTCTGCTTCGTCGTTTGATATTGTTAATTCGTTGACTGTCTACGTTTAAAATTACAATTTAATAACAGATTATAATCGAAATTATGGGAAACAAGCGTGCAAATTACAATATTACAGCCACGATTTATTTCTCCTGTCATTTTAATATTATTTCAACATTGTTTAACATTGCTCTATTTATTAATTTTCGGTTAAGTGTCGAAATTGTGTCCAACGAAAGTTACTCCTCACAGTATTTTTCCTCTATTTCCACTTTTTTCTTCCGCTTCGTCGTTCCTTCGTCGTTAATTCACAGACTGTTCATGTAAATTCGCAATTTAATAATCGAAATTATCAGAAACAAGCGTGCAAATTTGTCAGCAAAATGCAATCGCGATTCGTTCCCCTCCCCCAGCCATAGCATGCCAAATGTCCATTGAACTCTTTCCCATTATACGAGCCCGCGGAACACACCTCGAAACCGTCGAACTCCGATTAGGAATTACTATGCATATCATGCTGACGATAGGCGGTAGTGAACTCGGAAAACACCGGAGTCTCTCTGGTATATATCTCGTGTTTCACGGGGGTTTATTTTCGCTAAAGACTCCATCATAACGTGCAACACTAACGAGCGCATACACCCGGCATATTATGGTATCGCGAAACGCGCATTATTATTCGAGTTGCGTGATACTGACGATCGCGTTTGAACAACTACTGTGAAATACAGGGTGGCTAACTGAAGGGTTTGAAAAAGTCACAACCTGTTCATTTTTTTTCTTTCGTAGATTATAGAGCATCCATTGGAGATTAATTGTACGATTAATTGTATAATTAATTCATTAATCACATTTCCAAGTGAAATAACAAAAAGTTGAAGGAACACGTGTTTGTAAAAGTTATTTTTGTTTTTGTATCTGTTCAATCTGGTCGGTGACCACCATGCAGTTTGCGTCGTCCAACGATCAAGGCTTGCGACTTATGGCATAATTGCAGGACGAACGCTTCTATTTTACGAGAAAATAATTTTAATAGTAAATCAATCAGTCGATCATTCTTGAAACTTAGAACGATTATCAAATTGCAGTTCATATCGTCGATCTATAGTCGGTGACATTTTGTTCGCACCGTGGATCATTATTCGAATAAAATTTCATTCGAAATATTTACTGAAATAATATAAAGAAAGAGTGTCAGGAGTCCCTTTTTCACTTGCAACGATAACAAACTCGCCTAAAGCAAACAAATTAACCGACAAAATGTTCGAACAAAAGATTGCACTAAGAGCAAATTTATTAAATAAGCCGAAATTGTGAGAAAGCGGCTCCTGACACTTTTTTCTACATTATTTTAGTAAATATTTCGAATAGAATTTTATTCGAAATGTTATTCGAAAAATTCCACAACCGTGTGTTCGAATAAAATCGTTATTCGCAAATAACGAATAATTCTTTCTCGAATAAAATCGTTATTCGTTATTAATTTGACATATTCGTTGTTCTCGAATAAAATATGCCCAACTCTGGATTGGGATTAACGTGTACGTTTACGTCTACAAAGGAAATCAATTTACATGTGATTACCTATCCGAGCTTGCCAATCTTCTTAATTGAAGAGCCCTCTTCGCGAGCGGGAAACACAGGATATTCACGATGGCTGACGTAGCCTTGACGAAGTGGGTGGTATGCCTTCCGGTTTGCTGCACCTCGACCCACCTAGTAAGCATAAATACACATTGAATTGCAGTCGAAACAGTTCAAGGTTGCGCCGGTTTCTTAGAGGAAACCTCCCTAACTTCAACATCAGGGATTCCTTCGCCATCGCTCGTTTTCGCAATTATTTATACAACGAGCACGAGTTTAGCGTAGTCAATCAGTGCCGGGAATTAAATGGACATAGTTTCATCAGGAACATAGCTTCATCCAGTTCAGTTTATTACTTAAGCAACGTACTATCCAAGGTCTCCATTGGACGATCGTATTTCCTGGTTGGTGATGCAACTTTGTAACGGTGGATTGGTTAATAAGATCTCGTAACTATTACGTAATAACGGCCAAGCAACGATCCGCGGCGGAGAGATTGGCCATTTTGTAGCCAATCCTCTTTGCGTGGGTTTATCGGGTCAAGTAGAATCAGAATTCGGTATTCTCGTTAGAGATAGCCTGAATGCCGAGTGTACGTGTGCGTGCGAGCATGAGTAGAGAGGGTGGTTGAGATTAGAGGCTACGAGTCTCTTCCTGGCGAGACTTGCCAATTGCTATCGCTCTCCAAGTGTAATTCTTTGAAGAACCATTAGGCCATGGCCACGTGATTGGTTCACAGTTCTCTCCGAATTTCAGAAATCTCTTTTCTGTAGGAAATGTTTAAAAAAAAAATTTTTTTTTTTTATATGGTGGTTCGATGTGCTGGAATTTTCTCTTTATATCTGGTCTAGTAGTTGGGTCTCATTTAGGTAGTTGATAACGTTTGTTTGTTGTTTCTGGCAGGTTAGGGCGGTGTTTTGGTTTAATCCGTTTTCGGTATTTTCGTTTCAAAAATTTGTTTTCTGGGTTACTCCGAAAAATGTCTCGAGAAACGCTCGAAATTTACGTACATCTTTTCGCGAGATTCGTAACACTCGAAACTCGTGTGAAATCAACGAACAAAGGATCACTTGCAACGTGAATAAAGAAAATACACGTTCGAATGTCTGGCGAACATTCAGTGTTTATGTTCTTAACGATATGAGCAAACGTGCAACCGTAACTTTGAAATGATACGAAATATCCAAATAAATTATACATATATATAATAATACGTAAAGAAATTATTACATATATATACAAAGAAATTATTTAAAAAAAAAACCTTGTGAATTTTGTTAGTGCGCAGTTATTTTTTACATATTGTATTAAATATCAACTGTGAACTTGTTAATATTATCCACACACACACACACACACGATAAAAAAAAAAGAGGCAAGTTAGATGCAGAAAATGTTCAGATCTCTTCTTAAACGAGAACCATGCATTAAATATTTTTATACGTAACTAACGTTGTAAAGTTTCGAGAGAGTTTCAAAATTAGATAGCTTCGAATCTTCTTGGTTCCTTTCGAGACGTCCGCGACAGATATTATGTGGTATTGAAACCACAGCCATGCTCGAAGTGACATGTGCTGCGACACGTTGCGAAGCATTTTCATGAGAAAGAAAAAAAAAAAAAAAAAAAGGGT